ATTGTCTTTTGAAATGAGGAAGGTGCCGTTTTAAGACCAAAAGGCATAACCGTCCACTGAAAATGTTGATTGGGCATACAGAACGTTGTCTTGTGCTTTTCTTCTGGTTTAACACCCAGTTGCCAAAAACCCCTTTCAGATCGAATTTAGAAAAGATTTTTGTTTTTTCCAGGTTTGCAAACATGGTTTTCTTGTCTGGGAGAGGAAACTTATCATCTGCAAGAAAATAATTCAACGACTTATAGTCAATGACAAGTCTTAATTTTCCTCCGATTTGCTCACTTCTTTTGTCTACATAGAATGCTTGGCACGCCCATTGTGATGTAGTGGGTTCTACGAGCCCTTCTGATTATAATTGAGCCAATTCCTTTGTTGCAAGCTCTAAATGTTCAGGGTTCATCCCCGTGTGACTCACTTTTGTTGGATTGACATCCTCATTTCGTTTAAAGGGTAACATTATAAAGAAGTTTGGATTTTTCCAAAGAGGTTTTGTGCATTTGGTGAGGAATTCTGTATGAGATTCTGCACGACAATCTCTTATAAGGGTTTCTGTTATGGTTGGTATTGTAAGGGTAAAATATGTGATTGGTTCAATGTAAGGGATAAAATAGGATTTTAATTTGAGTCCATTCGAAAGAGGCTTGACTCGTCTTTCCCATAACTGTTTGATAACATCAAAGCCAATGAGTTATCAAAAGCCAATGACAAGATCTTTTCCTGGTAATGATGATCCAAGTAGTTTGTGTGAAATATTTAGTTCAGTGAAGAATTTAAGGGTTACTAGTTTACTAATGAGTTCCGTCGAAAAATATTCATTATTGTCAACTTGAAAGATCTTTTGGTAGGGTTTCCACATTTTCTAGGAGTATGATTGGGTTAAGAATTGAGGATGTCGCTCCTGTATCAAGTAATGTTGCAACAGTAATGGGTCTTTCATATTTTCCCAAAAAAAAGCTTAATTTCAATCATTGGTACCACTAGGGAAAGGTTTATGACCTGCATTCCAAAACATTCTTGCACACTTTCATCACTACTTTCAGTACTGTCATTATTTTGAGTATCATCATAATATTCAAGAGCTAAGATAGTTTTTGGTGACTGTTGTTCTTCCTTTGAAAATAACAATTCTAAATCTTCCTCATCGAGATCAACTTGAATTGTCGAAAGGATCTGACTGAGAATTTTGTCTTTTCTTTTGCTGGAACAATTTTTTGCAAAATGACCTTTTTTGCCACAAATAAAACATCTATTTCCTTTCCTTGGGGAAAACTTTTTTCTAAAAAATCTCTTTTTGGGAGAAAACTTGGAAAAGTTTTTCCTTTTCTTGAAACTTCTGCTTCTGAATTTTTTGGGCTTTGAGCATCCACATTCCTTTTTGGTATTCTAACATTTGATTTTCAAATTTGGCTGATCACGGGCTTTGGCAAATTGGTTCCCATTTATGTTGAAGTCTCTGAAGAATTCCCTTTGGTTGTAGAGTTTTTTCAGGGTTTTTAATACCTAATTGTGAAGTTCTCCAATAGACGTTTGAGATAGCGCCTGTCCTTTAAGCTCCATCATTCTATGGGTTTCTTGACCAAGGAGTTGTGAAAGAGATTCAAGATATGCCCGTTTGAGATTAGTATCATCAATTCCTCCAATGATGTAGTATTGTTTCATGATTTCTTTGAAATGTTTGTCCAAATCTTTTGGCTTGTAGGAACAACATTTTAGTTGGAAGAATTCTTCACGAGCCTTTTCTTTTGCATGATCTGGTTTTCCACAAAACTCCCAGTGTAGACTATCAAACAAGTTGTCAAGATCCTGAGTATTTGCCCATTGCCTTTGTCTATAGTTTCCAAGGGATCTGAACCATTCTTTCATGAGACCAGCAAGCCTAGCCAGAACTCCTCTGATGACCATATTATGCGTCATAACGGGTTTTTTTTAATTCTGCAGTACTCCATGCCAACATTTCTTGTAACCTTGATCTCCATTGAGAATGTGGTATGTCATCAAGGGTGACCCTGAAAGATAGATTACTATGTTGGGGATAGTAATTATTTATAACTGTCTGGCGTTCTTCTATGTCAGGCAAATCTTCATCTTCGTATTGCCCAGAGTGTGTTCCACCAGATGATTCTTCAACTTTTGGACCCCTTTGTACTTCATCAGTCATATACAAAGGATTGTAATCTTCATCAAAAGAAGATTCAAAGGACTCAGAACTGCTTATATTAATTTTCAATTTTTCATCATTTCTTTTTTAAATGGTCAAAGATCATTTGGAAAGATGGTTGGCATCTTCCACTATTTCCTCGGTCATGTAAGCCATTTACTTGTAACCCATTCCCGTCAACTCTCCTCAATTCGGCACGTGTTTAAATAATGCAAAAACTTGTCCACCATTCACTTCGCCAGCAATACATTACATTTTGGATGGTCTATGCCAGCACCCCTTTCAACTTATCTGTATATTTATGATATTTTGTGGTCAACTTTTATTTAGCGCTGATGGCATTTAATTCAATTTTTTTTTATATACTCATTTTTAATTATACATTTATATAATGAAATATTTTTGAAGTTAATTCAAATATTTTTAATCACACATTCTTCAAAAATTTAATATTCAAAATATTATTCTTTTCAAATAGTGACCATCAAACATGAACTTAATAATTTATTCAATTACAGATAGCTCAAGACCACTGTTGGCTTTAATACAACTAATAAATATATTTTTATAACAATCATGCTACATGTACATTTTATTTGACATTATTTTTGACATTATGCTATGTGTCGTAACATGAGTGGACAATTTTAAAATAAAACACACTTACCTATCATTTCAATTTGAAAATCAATGGAGTATCAACCATAATGTAAACAAAAGAATGTACAAGTGAATTATTTCTAATTTTGTTCTATACTAATAATACTAATATCTCTAAGGCCATGTTTGATTACTCCATTTTCCATTCAATTTGCCTTGTTTGATAGGGAATTTTTTCTAGGTAACTTGTTTTCTATCTTTCATGCATGTGACCACCTTTTCCAGGAAAATGAGGAAAACCAATTCCCTTGGGTGAGCTGGGAATTGGTTTTCTTGGCTGCTGGCTTTTTCAATTTATTTTTTATTTTTTTTATTTTTTGCTTTATTCTTTGCTTTTTTTTTCTTTTTTTTTTTTGGGTGGCAATAGTAACAAATTCTAAGAATTATTGCAAAAAAATATTCTTTTTAATTGACAATTTTCATGTAAAATAAAATCAAACGAACATAAAAAAATATTTTAATTTAAACATTTTTCACGTGAAAAATTATACCAATCAAACACAATAATTTACAATTTTCAGGAAAACAATTTCTCATCAATTCAATTCCCTGGAATTCATTTTCTTTCCACTCAAATTCCACATTTGCAATCAAGTGGACCCTAACTTTCATTTATTTGCACTCTAACTTTCAATCTTCTACTTTTTGGCGTAAATAATTCATAACTTAATATTGTTAGTCCTCATTCAAATATAATTAATTTAAATCAATATAGTTATCGTCTCCAACAATTTCTACCTCCATAACTTCACTATAACTTCTCGTCTCTACGATCCTATCGCAATCTTCACCCCGTAACTTAAAAGAAAAAAGAAAAAAAGAGGCTGCCCGGGGCACAGCTCAACTGATGGATCAATCAACATCGGCTTGCTTCCAACGGCAGGGTGGAAAGTTCGATTCCTGGCCCACCTACGACCAAAAATTTGGTATGGAGCAATCACTGTGGAGGAGGGTCTCTTGTGCACAAAGTGTATAGTCAATGGGGGGAATCTGTGATCAAATTGAGGCATAACTCGCGATTTACCCCCTTCAAGGTTCTAGGGGCATGGGTCTTGGAGGTTCAGAATTTAGTCTGGTGTAAGTTGGGATATCTGGATATTTAAAAAAAAAAGTATCAAATATGTACGTAAAGTTAAAGGCTGTGGCCTTTGTGTAATATGGAAAAAGTACGACACCTCAACAGAAAACAGTGGGCCCAGAGACATGTTATTAGTTGACTTTCCTGTCCCACTGTTTTGTCGTCTTCATTAATCACCACAAAGACAACTGAGAATTTCTGTGTAAATACAAACACAGGAAGTTTATCCTATATCCATTCCCTTCTCCGTTCGATATCATGATCATCACAAAATAATCAACGGTGGCAATTAAAATTACTTTTCTGATCATAAAGCACTTCGACTAATGACTTTTAGCAATCTCGGTGCCTTCTGCCTACACGCACGAAACATAGAGAAATAGTGAGAGAAAGTGAGGTTCTTGAGAGAAAAATGGAAGACTACAGAAGAGTGGGTGTGGCAATTGATTTTTCACCGTGCAGCAGGAAAGCACTTGAATGGACAGTGAATAACATTGTACGAAAGGGAGATCACCTGATTCTGGTCACTGTCCTCCGCGAAGGCCATTATGAGGAAGGCGAGGCGCAGCTCTGGCAAGCTACCGGTTCTCGTATGAACTCAAGCTTTCTGTTTCTATATATGGGATTTATTACTGATTCTTTACCTGTACCTCAAATTTTGAAAAATATGCTTGTCTTATGGTGATTTTACAGGATTATGTGATGTTAATCAACTTAAATTTGAGTTCAATTAATGTCTGCTGAAAGATTTTAATCTATTAATTAACCTGATAGATGATTGACGTCCTCACTAATAAAAAGGTGAAATTCACTAATTGATCTCAATAATGATTGGATTTGAAGCCTCTTCAAAAATCTTACAACCCTTTTTTTGGTTGTTCTACAACATGGAGTTGAAGTGTAATTGTACTTTGGTGATCAAGATCATAACTTAAATGCATCGTCTTTAGTGTTTATTCCTGCGGTTATTGACCTGCATGTTTATGTTTGTGATTTTGTTAGCCTTGATTCCTTTGATCGAGTTCACGGAACCCCATACCATGAAGAAATATGGGGTTAATCCTGACCCCGAAACACTGGACATTGTTGCTACTGCTTCTAGGCAGAAAGAGGTAATTTTGAAGTTTACAGTCATCATGTCAACACTAGGATTCACAGTGCATCGAACAAGATTTGAGCTTCTTTTTGCATTTTTAATACTGTTTGATGTTGAGCAAATACGCTGCTCCCCTTTTAGGAATTGCAACATTTATATTTTAACAATGCAGATAACCGTGCTCCTGAAAATCTTTTGGGGAGATGCTCGAGAGAAGATATGTGAATCTGTTGAGAGTATTCCTCTCGAATGCCTTGTCATTGGAAACAGAGGCCTTGGCAAAATCAAGAGGTTTGATTTATTTTGAAGTCTCTTCCACGATTTACAATCTTTTATGTAAAGACAGTAATTTCAGAGATATTACTTCACTCTTTTTCTACGGCTCTATGGGTTTCTATTGAATCATTTTACTTAAATAAAGCCCTAAAAAGTTTATATGCCTATTTACCAATCAAGTAAAGGTACCTTGAATCATGTAAATACAAGCATGACGTGTAAGGGCTTGTTTGACTCATGGAACCAGAGATTTTATCTTCTTTTAGTTTCTTGATTATGTCCTGTATTTTTCAATCTAGCCACCAAATATGCCATAAGTGACTCCCTTTTGGAGTCTTTTGGAAGGAACTATTACCGCCATGTACTTCACCATTTGTGTCAAACACTGAAAGATAACAAGGCACTCCTTAAATTTCATATTGTAGGTTTGTAGAAGAAATTATGGCTCATTTGCGGGCCCACATCGTCTTTAAAACTAATAGATATTCGGTTTATTTCATTGTATTTTTGCAGGGCCATAATGGGCAGTGTGAGTAATTATGTTGTCAACAATGCTACTTGTCCCATTACCGTTGTGAAGATCCATGATTAGACCTATGCATTATCAGGTGGAGCTTATTAATGTTGTTCCGAAACTCCCTGATTTTCTTGGTTAATAAGTCTCTGTTATCCGTAATTCAGTCTTGTGGTTGGATTTGTGTGTGTATATTGCTGGCGGAGGGTGCTTGTTTCGCTTGAATAAAAATACAGTTGGAATTTATTTTGAATAGTTCTGGATTCATTCATTTGCCTTTGGATGATCATTTTATCACAAGACTGTCTGGCTGGAAGGCCAGTGCTATTAAAGCTTGTTTTATAAGATGAAATCCACACGATAACTTATACAGATATGACTTATAATTGTCTAGGGTGTCTGATCCAGCTTCTCGGTTTTGTATCTTGTAAAGCTGGGCCATTTCCCTGCACAATGATATTGCTCGTTCCCCAATCAGTTCAGCCAGTTTTGAGTGTCCGTTAGGAACTAACTGGTATCGATCCACCATATGAACCATCGAACCCAGCATATCTGTCGAGCTCCTCATCTGCACACAACTCTGTAGTCCTCACACGAGCTGCATTGATTGGAGGCTTAGAGCAGTGCATGGCCTATTGCCACCATTGCATATTGCCATGTTTTTTTGTTGCAAAAGGGCATGAGTAGAAAATGTGGCTTCTGATTTCCTCTGTTCCACATCTCGCACACATCGCATTGCATCCCATTTTGCTGTTAGTTTTTGGTCCCATGCTCACACTTCCGCTACCTATCTTACTAATGGAATGCCTATTCTAAGCGTTAGATTATCAGTGCGACTGTGAAGGAATTTCAAGAAAATCCCGTCTATGACAAACTTCACACATACGGATGTCTGAGCTATCCGTGGCTCAGACCATACTCAAAACATAAACTTGAACATAAGTCTAGGCTGAGTATGTTTTTGGGATATTTACTTTCACAAAATTCTTACAAATGCTACGATCCCCCTTCAAGAAAAAATCTTTGAGTCACGACATGTTACATTCATTGAAGATGTGTTTCTTTTAACATCCCAACAATTGCGTCAATTTAGTGTTATTCGTGACAATTTTCATAACGGATATTGTCGTGTTATTCGTGACAATTTTTCATAACGGATATTGTCTAATAGTAGAAATATAGGAGAAAGGGAAAAGAGAGAGAAGAGAAATGAGGGGGGAAGAGAGAAGAAGATGGAGAGAAGTGAGAGAATATATGGGAGAAAATCATGTTTATTCCATTACCAAAGTTGCATGAGTTACATTGCATGTGCCCCCTTTATATAGGGTTCAAATTTGTTCTAACTGAAGTAGGAAAATAATATAAAATTCGGTGAAATCAAACATTAATTAAACTTTATGAGATAAACATCAAAATCCAAAAGTAAATTAAGTAATATCTATACTAATATTCTATCATTTCTTCCTAACTGAGAGAACTCGATTACAAAGAAATACGTTGCAATTTCTTAATCAAACACGACGAGATTTCTTTCTGACCAAATAACAAAACCAACCATGTGACGACAATTGAATCTAAAAATCAACCTCGAGAATCCGATCTGACCAAGGGAGACGATATTTCCTTTTAACCAAGTGGCAATGAGGGACACTAATAAGCAAAAACTCGTGCAATTCATTTACAAAAACGAAAATGGAATCCACGTGAGAAGTATAATGCACTAGCATAATGGATTGGCCTGCAAAAACAAATAATTGCAAGAACGGTGACTTGAATGTGCCCTGATAAAGAAACAATTCTGATATATTGAAAACAAAACATTTATTTAAGTGTGATTGTTGTTCAAGTGAGTGATCCAACTTTGGATTTACATATTTTAGAAACCATGTCAAAGAAAAACGTAAGAAGCCATAACAATTACCGTGAAAGGCTGTGTCAAAACAGCATGTGAAATGCTAGCTCATAAGTTTCATGACTAAAAATTAATCCTTTGTTTGAGCCACATTATTTCCATAAGAATGCATTATTGAATAGTGTGTTGGTGAGAAATGTGTGGTTAAAAAATAAGGAAAATTTTTGGATTTGAGTGTAATATTATTTTATTGAAAAATGTGTGGTTAAAATTATGTCAAATTACTGTTTAAAAATGTATTTTTTTTTTAAATGTGGAACAAATAGAGCCTAAGTCCTTTAAACTCGAAAAAAAATCAATAAAGTACAGAGCTAAAAGAACATTATTCTAATTAGTAGACAATACATGAATATCGATAGGACAAGTGTGTGAATGAACAAAGACTTTGAAAAATAATGTGTCAACCTGAAAATTATCATGTAATAGAGGTAAGCCACATCAAACTCAAGTTTAAAATCGCACAAAAGAGTAGGCAAAAGTACTATCGGCATGAAGTCGACAACATGTGGACTCTTTGGATCAGGAGGCAACACCATACTTATTTCCTCATCCTCGCTATCAGAATATTCAATTAACTAAACAATAGAAACGTCATTATCTTCCACAGGAGTAAAACAACTAAAATTGGAAAGTGATTGTCGAGACTGGGGTGGTACATGTGGTGTATGACATACTCAACAAAGATAAAAGGATATTTCCTCGTCTTCGCTATCAGAATATCATGTTTGCTTGATAAATTTATTTTATAGAAACTGAAATCTGAAATATATATTACAACAAGGAATATAACCTAAGAATAAAATTTTACTAGAAGGCATTCTATGGCGATAAGCTATAGCAAATAAATGTTCAAAGTCACTGTGTGCTTGTTTAAATAATCTCATTTAACTAGTCAATTTGCTTTGACCATGAGTATATTTCTCAATTAAATTTCCCGAAATAATTTGTTTATGATTTTTCACATTAAGATTATTATATTGAAAATAAGAGTTTAACCAATTGTACAACAGGTCATTCTCCACTTTGAATGATAGCTATCAACTTTTAGTCAACAAATAACAACGAAGACAATGAAAGTTTGATCCTTTATGACTAGGGTATAGCTATTGGTTATTAGATTCTGCCTGTATTTCGTAGAGAAGTTATAATGCATACTTTTGTTGATCGATAGTATCATATTCCATCATATTTCATTTCAAGTTAGGATTATTAGGTAGGTTATGTCACTTATGCTGCAATTATAGTGAAAGATAAAATTTCATTTTATGTCTCAAAATATCAGGAGCAACTTTGTAATTTTAGCCCGTGCGCCTAAAATTTCTGGATCCGCCCCTGAATGTGTAGATGCTTCGATGGCTTCTTATTATATTATGGAGGCTATGTTTTCCTGACAGAAATAAACGAAAAGCAATATGAACGTCCTATTTTCAAATCGATTGATAGATAACCTTATCTATCTGTGAAAGATCAAAAAAGATAGAGAGGGAATCTATCGACAATACACTTTAAATCCAAGAAGCTCGGTTGTGCTAAGCAGCAGTAACCCCATTTGAAAACTCGGTGGCTATAATAGAAACACCCACCGAAAATTATACCTAAAATATACATGAATTGATTTTCCATTGAAGGATGCAAAAAAGTGTTTTTCTTTAGGTTTTGAAAGGGAAAGTACTTTTTAGCTACTTTTCTTTTAGTTTTGAAAATCAAATTTACGATTTCTGTTTGTTGTAGCTCTGATTTGGGAAGAAGAAGGTACACTTTTCCAATTCTTTTTGTTTTTTGTTTTGTTTTTTTTTTTTTTTTGATGTGGTAAACATGAAAGTACCATTTTACCCTCATTGAAATTAATTATAATGTGATCAAAGTTAAATTTTTGGTCAACAGATGAAATTATGGATGAAAATTGTCTATAAGGGTTTCATCTGTAATATTTGAAAATGTTAGGGGTGACGACTGCAATAAATCGAATGTTTGACACTTTTGCTGGAATTATTCCTAAAATTTGAAATGATTATCTTGATGGTTGATTGGTTGTTGAGATTTGCTCATCCCATATCCAATACAGGAAAATTCCATTACTAGTGGATTTTTTAATTTTTATTCAACATGGCCCCATGAGGTAATGGGTTTGCATTATCTTCTTGAATGATGATATTGGAATGATAGTTGTTGCTGATACAGAGTTGTTAAATCATGCGTAGGGATTTGAATTGTCTATAAATGATTATGGGAACTCAGACTTTTTGTCTTTCTTAAAAAAAAAATAATTTTCTTCGAGTTTCAATCATCTCAATACTCGATTTTAAAGGACAAATTTTCAAATATAGTATAATATTTAAAATATTACCCTTAAAATGTTTTTGTATGGCGCACTTGTTACAGCTTAAAGTGTTTGAGGGATATAGTGACCAAATTTTATTAAAAAATAATAATTTAAATTTAAAACAAGAAATAGAAAATACCTTGTGGCATCAACTGGTGATATATTAAAGTATTTTCTTGTCATAAATTACATTGGAAGAGATCTTCGTACAAATAGACCGAACATAATAAACTCAAATTGCATGAAGATACACCTAATAAAAACTCCAAATTGCCATTTAATTATATTAGTTATGCATTACACATTATTGAAGAATTAATTTACACAATATGAAAAAAAAATGCAGGCCTTAAAAATAAATGTTAATTATTATATGTGCACGTAGATAGTGAAATACATAATTGAATGTTAAATACATATTGAAAATAAAAAGTAAAGTATATTGTAAATAATTTATATACACGTGATTTTGATAATTAATTTATGCAAAAGTGTGTGTATGTAAATTCGGAGAATAAATTTATATCGCAAATAAAATGTATAACCTTGAAAATAAATAAGCCATGCTTAAGCCACATTAATTTGAAGAAATGTATCGTGGAATGATGATTGATAGAGAATGTATAATTAAAAAAGAGAAGGAAATTTTTTTGATTTGCTTGTAATATAATTTTAATAAAAAATGTGTGGTTAAAATGAGTACCGAAAAAATAATGAGAGGGAATGTAAAGTAAAGAATGACAAGCATGGGCTAAGTATACATGAACTTGAATAATCTAATTACTCCTAAAGTAATTGAATAACCCCAAAATATGTAAAAGTGTACACGAATTTGAAGAATTAATTTGTACCTTTTTTTTTCTTTTTTTATCTAAATGTGAGAAAAATGAAAATCCCTAAAAATAAATGTTAATTATTATACATGTACGTAACTAGTGAAATGCATAATTGAATGTTAAATAAATATTGAAAAACGAAAAAAAAGGTATTGTTGAAATAATTGAATTGTAATATGGTTAGAATTGTTCAAAAAAAAAAAAAAAAATTCTCACTTGATTTGATATTTAGGGGTTGTATTCAATTAGGACTTTTAAAAAGTTTGATGGATTTTTTAAGTGAAAGTATGTAGATTTCGTGGATCTTTTATAAATTTGTATGAAATTAGTGGAAGTCTTTCTTATATTTCTATGGGTTTTTATTTTAAAATTTTTATAGGCTTTGAAAAACTTTCATTTGAAATAGAATTAACTTAAATCTAGTATAATGATGTGAAATTTTCACATATGAAGTGTTAATTTTTACAATCCCCTCTTGTTGGTTTTTACGATTCCCCCTTTCCTTTTCTTTCTTCTTCCCATATAATAAATTTTTTTTGAAAAATATAAAAGTTTAAGACCTTAGTCAAATAAATAATAATCAAAATTATACATATATATATGATTCAATATTATTACTATAGTATACTTTTAAAAATAAATAAAAATCAATATATTTAAATTTAATTATAAATTTTTCATATAAAATTTTATAATTTAATAAAAAAATAGATATCTTTCACCAAAAAAAAAATGAATGAAAAAAAGAAAAAAAATTACAAGAATATATATGTATATATATATATATATATATTATATTTATACAATTTTCAAGATTAAGTGGGAAAGTTAGTTATAACTAGGTAAATAAAACAAGGGTATATTAGTAAACTAATAAAACATAACATTCTTAATAAAAAAACATGACTATATAATTGGGACGAGAAAATATGGGAAGTCGGTATATATAAATGAAATGAAGGAAGTATGATGAGCAAAGAGTATGAACTTTAAATGCAATTAAAATGCAGTTCAAGAAATAAAAATTTTAGCACGAATATAGATATCCTTTAGTTAATTAACACGTCTTGTCCTTGAAGATGGTTTATGTTGAAATATTTTGTTTGCATGCTTTGAATTGAGGGAAATATACTTTTTGTCACACTTTTTTGTTTATTGGAGTTTAAAAAACATTATGGGAAAATAACTTATTTTACGTTATTCAAACAGACTTTTTGGCTGAAAATTGTTATTAGATATGAGATATCCTAATTAACGGAATGTTGAGAATAAAATACATTAAAAAAAGTTAAGGATATAAAGCTTATGATGAGCAAATATAGAAGACCTTAATTACAATTAAAACGTGCTATGACTAATAAAAAAATTGTTGTGAATATAGTTATCTAAAGATTTAGGGTATGTGTTGGCTCCCATTTTTCTAAAAACTCATTTTTTCCATATTCATCCATAAAATAATTTTACATGCAAATTAAAAATCTTTTCCTATTTTTTAATTACAAATTCTTCAACAAAATACTATTTCAAAATGCATTTTGACCAAAAAAAAAAAGGGCTCAATCAAGGGCTTATTTGCCTCTAGTATTTTTAGATAAGCAAAATAAACAAGAAGTTTGAGAAAATATTTGCATTTGAACAGAAACTATAATCACAAACAGTTTATGTTAATTAATTGAAGGTTAAGGATAAAAATATGACAAAAAATTTAACGACTCAGTGCAAAAAAGAGCGAAAATTGGAAATATTTATTGCAATTAAAATACGTCACTTGTTGAAAAAATTGTAGTAAAACTATAATTACCCTCGTGCAAATATATCTAGAAAAATTACGAAAGTTACACAACTTGCTTTCTATTTTATAATCCATAATATATTAATGGGGTGTATTCAATTAAAAATTTTAATGACTTTTTGGAATTTAAAAAGTTTAAGTGTATTCAATTGAAATTTTTATAGACTTTTAAGAAATTTCTAAAAGTTACGGTGTATTCAATTGAAATTTTTATTGACTTTTAAAAAACTTTAAAAGTTATGGTGTATTTAATTAAAAAAATTTAAAAGTCTCTGCAAGTCTTGGAATATTCAGATTTTAATCAATTTTAGGGTTTTTGGAGTACTAACTTTTAAGCAGAAAGTACTCATATAAACTCTTAAAATTTGTCTCTCAATGATCATGAGATTTTGGAAGACATTTAAAGTTTTTTAATCTTTTTTATTGACTTTTAAAAAACTTTAAAAGTTATGGTGTATTTAATTAAAAAAATTTAAAAGTCTCTGCAAGTCTTGGAATATTCAGATTTTAATCAATTTTAGGGTTTTTGGAGTACTAACTTTTAAGCAGAAAGTACTCATATAAACTCTTAAAATTTGTCTCTCAATGATCATGAGATTTTGGAAGACATTTAAAGTTTTTTAATCTTTTTTTTTTTTAACTTCTATGGAGATGTATGATTAAAAATGATTTTTTATTGATTATATTTATTTTCATTTATATATATATATATATATANTATATATATATATATATATATATATATACATATATATACAAAAATTATTTTTTTAGTAACATTAAATAAAAATTTTTAATCCACATGAAAAATAAAATCAGCCTACATAAATGTGATGGAGGAAGTAGTACTTATGCTCTCGACCTGGTACCATCTCTTATTGCAAGGTAAGTTCAATTACAAACTCTGATTAACAGCATATAACAAGATAGAAATTAAAATATGTGTGTGTGTGTGTATATCGTGTTCTTATTGTGGAAATGCTATGACATCCAAACCAGTCCAAGAATCAAGAAGCAAATTGTTTCTCAACAATCTAATATGTTCTTCATTTCTAACTTTTTCCCAGCTCAAACTTACTACTTAGCCGAACATTAAGAGGATTGATTTAATCAAATATGAATAAACGGGCACTCAGTTCTTCTACCATTTCTTTAACTACATAATCTGCATGCAAACAATAAGAAATAATACTTGTGGATATTTTCCACCGATAACCTACTAATTAGCTAACAAGAAGAGATTTACTATTTTCCAGGATAACACCGGCCCAGCCCAGTCGGTTCAACCGGTTTAACCGGGAACGGGCCAAAACCGAGTCAATTGTGCCCAATTAACCGCTTATGACTAAACCTATTAAAAGCCCACCAAACCGACTAGTTTAACCGTAAACCGGCGAACCGGTCACAGTTTTGTGGTTTTCTCTCTCTCTCTCTCTCTCTCTCTCTTTTTTTTTTTTTTTAGTTTAAAAATTTTCAACTTCATGAATAGGCCTCATAAACAACAATTCAAATGCTCATAGATAAATATTGGATGACATGCTTCTTTTTTAGAGTTTGTTTGGTACAGATTTTAGGACAAATAAAATGAATTTTTTCACCGTCATTTCACCATTCCAGCCGTTATTTTTGAATTCTTCTCTCATAAGTAGGACTCACTTTATTTCTAACGATCAAAAAATCAATTATCAAAATTCTTACTAAACAAGTACTTATAGATACACCTCTCTCAAATGATTTCATAAACTTTCAATGTTGGATAGTGCATTTTATATATGCACTTCTCTCTAATGGTTTCATAAACTTCCAATGTGAGATAGTGTCATAACAACAAATTATAGAATAATAAATTTAATTAACAAATTATTAATATGAAAAAAAAAATTATTGTTTTCATAGTATTTTATTATTTTTGTATGTATTTATCGCGTTTGGTTTGATCCCGATTGAACATTTTGACCCTTGAGTCCTTGACCCTTCACCTTTTCCGGGTCGATGACCCGGTCAGTTTTCAAAACATTGCTATTTTCAACATGCATGCACCAGTTAATATCTTTCAACATTTTCTTTAACTGCACATTACTAATGCAAATAGTGCAGAGTGAGTTATTAACTATTCCGTTATTACCCCAAGTATGCTTACAGGCCTTACAACCATTTAATTTATACGAGGTCTGCAGGAACATATGCATTTTGCAGATTAACAATCCTTGAAATAAAAACCTCCAGCGGGTAACAAAACACCTAAGTGGTGTCCCAATGCCCTTTTCAAACAAAAATAAAAGCAACAACGGGAAATGAAGGGGAGAAGTGCAACCTGTATCACAAAATTTCTTCTTTCACAGTCAAGAAACATACTGGGGCTCCAGTTAACTTTAGACATTATTTTATCCCTCACAGTTGAAAAGCTCAGCTGATCCCGAGCTGTAAATCGATCAACTTCATTAAACCACAGGCACGTGAAAAGATTTGTGATGGGAATGTGCTCTCGTATTATAACACACCCTTCGGGAACATCTACAGAAACTTGGCCAGTTTAAGTTAATATTACCATTTTTGGGACCAAAATGAGCCAAAACATACAAATAACAGACATACCGCTGGTTATGGGAAACTTAGCAGCAGAATACGGCGTTAATCCCTCCTTTTCATAAAATTTGATCTGGTAATCAATAGAATCATTACTGTATTTTCCTGCAGCTTTATTTGCCTCAGCTTCTTCAAATACATCGAAGCGTCTATAGTGTCTTGATATAGCAAAAGTGGCATTTTGGCGCCACAAAAACCTGAGGAATATAGTTGAGGGATGAGTCAGGGCAGTAACTTAAGTAGCCTTGCACAACAATGATGGCTACTACTACTGTACCTTTCAAGAACCTGGTATGGGTCCACAACAAGCTGAAGCTTTCCATCTATCCAGATAGAGTATCGAATGTTGGGAAACAACCTGTGCAGTAAGAGCTTTGGCACCTGCACAATAAATTATGAAGTCTTAGCTCCATCCTAATGGTCCGCAAATAGCAGATAAGCCTACTCCATCACCCCCAAATGCAGACCTACTCCAGCACTTTATGAACGGGAAAACAGTAAGAAAAAAACATGTAGTTCAATGTTAATTATATTTTTGTTTCAATACATAAAATTTGCTAAACGAGAATATGGCCTCGTGAGTTCCATTTTTATTTTAATTCTTTGATAAGGAAATTTAACTTATACTATAATTTGCAGCAAATAGAAGCATTAATGGCCAACAAGGCTTCAGGATATAAAACAAAAGAAGTAACTAAATGTAAATGAAAAGTATCGAACCACTTAAGATCCGTGATTGAATAAGAAACCTTTAAATCCAAACAAATGCCGGACAATACTAGTTCCAATCACCATTACCATCTTTGCAACAACATACCAAAGTAAAAATTGCTTTGATACTTTTGGCAGTTATGGAAAGTATAAAGGGAAACAGATCCCAAAGGGAAGTAACCTTTCCATTTCTTCTTGGGTCGGTGTAAGGTACATTGTGAACAACAATAATCCGCCATATCCCAACCCTTTTGTCATTTCCCAAACGACTAGTATTCTTCATATAAGCTTCAGTCTCTTCATCAACAAACATATAAAAACGAACATTTTCTTTAGCAGTTTCACCAATATTCCTTGGCTGTTGAATTATGTCATAATTTCCTGTACGGAGGTCAAATGGAAGGAAACAGACAATAAGCTTGGTAGAAAAATAAATAGCTTGTTTGGTAGGTGATTACAAACAGTTTACATTATAAATAGATAGAAATGAATGATGGATAAGTGGTAGTACTTGTGGATCCTACGAAATGTGTAAATAAAAAGTAGGTTTGATCAAAGTGTTTATAGTTAAATAACTACCAAACAAGAAGTGTATATAGAGATATCAGACAACATGCTAGCATTTCCACAGGTTCAGCAGTGATAGTAGTCTCTAATGGTGAAATCTCGTATACATGAAGTTTTGAAACTTTCAATAAAGCTTATGTTCAGCTTTACCAAATATGGCAGAGGCAACAATGACTTCATGGAATTGCTCCAACTCCCTGAGATCAGCCACATCAATATCAAATCCAGTACCATCACCCGGTCTACATCCCTTAACAAATCTGGAAAAGAAAAAGAGGAAAAAGTAAAGGGAAAATACATTTAATAAAATCTGTAGTGTCACACTTTGAATGTTTTCAGACTGGAATATTATATTCCCCAAACATTGGAGCCATGTAGAAAAATTACAGGAGTAATACCTACCCACAATGTACAGTCATTGATTCCCTTATATCAAAAGAATCATTCCTCTGTTTTAGAGACGGATAACCACCAAACTCAGAGCCTCCACGTGGTTCAGCTTTAATAGGGGTTTCCTCAGAAAAATAATTTAAATGACGGAGCACAGGAGATGCTGAAGGGGAGCTGGGCATATAAGCTATAGCCTGTTCCACAGGAGCATAACATACTGGACATGCTGAGGATAATGAATAAAGTACGATTAAGATCAAAAGCTCTAAATCACACTAGCACAGACATGCGACAAAAAGAGAAATTCAATCCTTTCAATTGATAAATATTTTCTTTACTCACAATATTCGCTTTAGCAACTCAGTAGATATATGCCGCAAATAGATATTCATAGAAAAAATATTTTGAGCTAACACAACTTACGGCGTGGTCCAATTCGTCTCCTATCACCAGGAGGGGGAGGGGGAAATGCAAAATCTTTACACGGATTCTTCAAAGAAGTAGCAGCACCAAAAGAGACACTCGAAGCAGAAGCATGTGAAAGAGAAGGATGCAAGCCAGTATTCTCATGGCATACTGTAACTTCATTCACCATAGTGTTACGGCCATATTGCAATACTTCTTTTATTGGCAAAAATGAGGATAAATGATGAGACTGGTTGTAAAATCTAGAATCTAAGTCCAATGCAGAGCTTTCCAAATCATTATCTGACAACAAGCCATCAAGCATGTATTAGTAACCCCATTCAACAGACGAGTTATGTGATTAATCAAAAAGAATTTAAATCAAATTTTCAAGCTGGGCATGTTAAACAGAGCATGTCTAGTATTCAAAAGTCATACACATGCCCTGGTTTGAAGGTATACCTAAAACTTATCAAAATAGAAAATGAGAAGAGGAAAAATTTAGCCCTTGTTTGAGCCCCATTTTGAGGGGGAAAATGAATTTTTGAATAGTGTATTAATTGGAAATGTATGGTTAAAAAATAAGAAAAAAATTTGGATTTGCATGTAATATTATTTTATTGAAGAATGTGAATTATGTCAAAATACTGTAGAAGAATTCAATTTTTCCGAAGAACGAGGATCAAACAAGGGCTTAATAAATAGCAAGATCTCTTTCCCTCTTTTATCTTAAATATGCCAGAATAGCAAATATGCAATTGTGAATATAACTTTTACACGGCAATCATATTTAACCGACTCAATTACCAGGATATCAATTGATTCTAGAGTATTTCATCTGGCAAACTTGTTAAGTATGGCAGCGATAGCATTTCAATAGTGTCAGGAAAATAAAAATGATGAAAGAGATCTAGATGCGAACCTTTATGGACTGTAATGCACCCTGTCATAAAAGCCAAGATTGCAAAGACAATCAAAATCAGCATTCCAATTTTCCTTCGACTTGAATACCTAAAAATACAAGTAAGAAACCTTCCCTTCTCCCTAGCACCAGAACCATATATCTTTGAAGTTTTACGAACAATGTACAAATTCTGAGACTGCAACCCTTCGCTCTGTGCCTGTAGCTGCAGTGACCCTGAACTTGCCGATGTTCTAAGACCCAATGACGCTCCCGTCATTGTATCTCCAACACCCAAATAATCTTCATCTCTTTTTGCCCTCAATTCTTCTCTTCATCCACAAAGAACCCAATAGTCTACTACACTATACCAGAACCAGAAACCACGGTCCAAATAATAACTAACTTCAGTATTACTAAGAAACTATATTCAATTAACAAATCCTAATCCAAATTCAGTAAATTCAGCAATAAATGAAATGCTAGTAGAGAAATCAAAACTCAGATATTTAACATTCTCGTCAATTCACCAAATCTAAGTTTCAAATATAGTTAAAAAGAGAGTCTATGACTCTTCTCACTAGAAACAATCAAAAAATCCCGTTCAGGCCGGACTTTTCTCATCAACACAAAAGTTCAACCATTATCCCTAAAATAAAAAACCACCCCAGCACCAAAATTGACTTTAAGAAATACAAAACCACCAACAGAAATCCCAGTTCCACACGCACTAACTACCAATCAGGGGAAATATAAATCAGAGACAATGCTTTTCAGTTAGTTACAATCTAACTCGAAATCAAACTCTAAAATTACAAAAATAAAATAAATAGATTGAAATCTAGATCAATGCGGCAATAGATATAATTTATTATAGATAATTACAAAGTCAAATGGGCCCATCAAAAAAAGGACATTTACGAAAATTAAATTAAGCTGCTTACCTTTGTATAATGTGTGTGCATTAAACAGGACAATGTTTTTACAGAGATAAAGATTCGAATTACTGATTTTCCTCGCTTTGGTGTTCTTTCTCTCACTCTAGAAATAGTTCAATAGATTAATTATTTATTTTGTAAACATGCGCGAGTGTTGTTGGTAAATCCAATAATTATTCTCTAATTAAATTATTAATAGCACGAAATTTGATATGATGAGGTATGTCCATCCAGTTTTTTCGACGTTTTTCTTAGTGGATAAATTGCACTTGTGGCCCTAGCTTTTGATCCCTTGTGAACTTTGGTGTCTATTCTTTTTTTCTTTGCATTAAGGTACTTGATTTATCATTATCTCATTCTTTCAAAACTCTTTTTTATATACTCATTTTCAATTACACGTTTATACATTAAAATATTCTACATGTGAACTACAAACTTTTTCTACTTTTTAACTGCATATTTTTCAAAAATTCACTATTCAAAACAAATTTTTTATTAAATGACCACCAAACAGGAGCTTATGCACACTAGCAATTACGATGAAAATATTAATTTTCCTTGTAGAAATAAATATAGATAAAAGACAAAAATATCATAGTCTTTAAATCTCACTCAAACCATCTATAATCCTAATAATATGGCAAGGTGTTGGCCCCACGGGCATGGCTCAGTGTTAGAGCAGGAGAGTTCCAACGGAGCATCGGAGGTTCGAATCCCCGCGACAGTTGAAAGGCAACATTTATGTTAGAAGACAGTTGTCCTGTAGAGGCAAAGTTATGATGCGTTTTGTCGCCCTTTCGGCGGTCCTATCCGCACGTCATAAAGGGAGGTCTACAAGGAGGAGAACCGCATCTCGAATATCCGACCCAAGTGTGTATAAGCTGTGTTCGAATCTTAATTTACCTGGATGGCGAACCAGGGAGAAAGTCATCACTCCTCAGGATTAGTCAAGTGAAACTTGAACACCCGAGTTATCAAAATAAATAAATAAATAAAATAATAATAATAATATATATAGAAAATATTACAATTAGGATACTTTTTGAATAGTGGAGATTGATCGACGCAAAGAATCAAATATATATATATAGAAAATATTACAATTATGGTACTTTTTGAATAGTGGAGATTGATCGACGCAAAGAATCAACGAGTTGATTTCTTCAATCAAAGAAGAGCTTTAAAAGGCTCTTTGAAAGGGGTTTTGATGTAGAGTCTCCAGCCAAGTCAAAAATAAGAAGCTGTGAAAAAATAGATGGCAGGAGTGATAATTTGAAATAAGTTGTTATACTTGCCTTTTATTCTGTTCTCTATATAGAGATGTTCGAGCGCTTGCCAAATCGTTCTATATATTGGAGGGGAAATTTTACTTACGAGGTTTCAATTTTAACAGTGCGTATTCAATTTAAATTTTTAAAAATTTTTAAGGATTTAAAAAGTTAAGGGATAAATGCAAACTTTTCTGTGAATATCTAAAAATATTGGCATATTCAATATAGACTTTTAAAAACTTTTAAAAACTTTCAAAATTATATATGCAATTAAAACCTTTTAGAAGTTTATATAAATTTTAAGGAATTTAAATTGACTTTAAAGGTTTTTATAAAAGTCTCTGAAATTTAAATTTCTAAGCAGATAGTACAAAAAATAAAATGACAAAATTTATCTCTCATTTATCCCAATATTTTGAGAGACATTTACAAAAGACTTTAATAGTATGCATTTTTTGTCTTTTCAATATTTATCTTTCCTCTTCCTAACCTTAGAGTCATGATTAAGAAGCTTCTATTTTTTTCTTCTACCAGTTATATCATTCCATTTTCCTTCTTTTTTCATTTATTTATAATTTCTCTTCATTTTCTACGGAAAGATTAAATTGTAAATTTTTCTAAAAAAAATTACAACATTTTTTATCCAATTTTTTTATATAAAAGAACAATTTGTAATTAAATTTCTAAAATTAAAAAAGGACTAATTTATAATTCAAATTTAAATATATTGATTGCTTGTATACTTTTTAAAAGGTACGACATATTGCTAACACTGAACATTAATTTTTTTTTATTTCTTTTATCAAATACTGAAATATTATATAAATGTATATTTTGTATTTTGATTATTTATTTGTTTAATTAAGGTGACATAAAAGTTTTATTCTTTTAAGAATACTTTTTATTACATCCGCAAAGGGAATGATGATGATGATCAAACTTCCACCTCTTATGTAGCAACTTTATATTATTACACTAGATTTACGTGAATTACCTTTTAGATAAAGGTTTTCAAAAGTCTTATGAATTCTATGAAAGTCCATAAAGATATATAAAAATTTTAAAATTAAAGTCTATAAAAATCTTCGAAAGACTTCCGTAAATTCTATAATAGATCTCTAGAATACAAATTAATAAGAGTCCATGAATTCACAAAAGTTCACCAGTTAAAAATAGTCTGAAAAATTTATTAAAAATCTCAGTCACAATCTTACAAATGGGATGAATAAGAGATTTTTTTATGATTTTTGAAAATTCTTAAAATAAAAAATGGATTAATTAACCATAACAATGATTAATTATACTGTTTTGTGGCTAACATCGGCCGTCTCTCCAGCCTATGAAATCGAAATCTCACTCAGATAACTCGTATTTCACAATTCAAATAATCATGGCTATAATTAATAGACCACAATCACAAGGGTTTATATATATATATATATACAAAACAATCCCAAAAATGGGTATTTATAAAAATAATTGGTGAATCGGCGATCGAACAATTCTATTTCCATCGAAACGTTACTTCAAGTAAGAGTAATTTTCATGATTAAATGTGTCTCATAGTATTGCTTCATTAACATGTACGAGCTAATTCTATCAAATTTGAAAACTTAAATGAGGAGACCTAGAAATCTAACGAGGACCCACCTCGGTAACCTATGAGAGAAAATAAATTGTGTATCCTATTTCTATAGTTTTACAATGTTCGGAATGGACTTGAAGGACTATTGTACTACTTCATAGAGTAACATGTCGAAATTTGTAGACAGGCAGCAGCTAGAAGAAAGGGTCAAAGGTATGATCTTGAAAGAAGAGGATCAAGAGATTCTTGCGCACTTCCAGCATCTAATACAAATGTTGAATAATCTCATCTATCATGGTAACTAACTTTCGAACATGTTGTCGATGCCCGTTATGTTTCTAATATCTAGACGGAACCTTACATTTTCAAGAATGGTGAAATCCAGGAATTCAAACAATTTCCATTCAGTGTAAAACATACCAATCTTGACCTTGCACCAAAGAAACTTAGTGGCCTAACTTCTAAAATGTATGGGTAGCTAGTTCTTGAAAATTGTCAAATGCTCGATAACTTTCTATGTGAAAGTAAATTTGTTTCTTAAATATTTCTTTACCTGGTGGTATTCTGGATACAAAAAAGACAAAGTCAGTACAATTCAAAGAGTAGGAAAGAGATGTTCAACTCTCATACTGAAAAAGATGCTTATGGTTTCCCAATTGATCAGCCTAAATTGTCCCAAGCTCTGGAAGAAGCAAGTAATAATCCCTATGAAAATATCCACAAGTTGATTAATCATCTGGTAAAGGATGGGGGACACAAGGAAGAGGATTCAAAGATTCTGGTTGGGCCAGACTTGTTGCTGCAAGAATGAGCATGTTGTCTGAAGAGCGTAGAGCAAAGTCTTATTCTTAGCAGGGAATTCTAGCGCTTATGGCTAGGATTCCTGAATTATTCAAGTAGTCTTATAATTCTACGACAAGACAAGATCAAAAGAATGTAGTAATTGCGATCTTTTAACAGCATGTCCATAAAAGAAACATCCGCTATCGTGATCCTCTAAGTAGTCAATTTTCTTCTCTTAAAAGATCCTAGATCATTCAAATCGTCTTCATATTCCATGACGATGCAAGCTAACAAGAATCTAGTGATAGCAGTCTCTAAACATCATGTACATAAAAGAAACATCGAATATCCTATGTTGGAGACGACTTATAGAAACGGGCTATGTAAGGGTTGGTTTTTGATTTGTTTGTTCAAAGTTTTAACCCACGGGAGCGTGATCAAAACAAAATTTATATGAACGAAAATTTGGACAGAGTTTCGGTATATATAAATGTGGTAAACGATTACACAATACAAGAATTAAGGAGTAGAAAATAGAAAATAATCTAAGACGAGAAGTTATCTCTTTCCTTGAGGTAAATTGCCCCTCTACGATGCTCACGGTGAATGACACTTGTCTTTCAAGATATAATGGATTCATAGCTTGTGGTAGTAGCATTTCAAACCGCAAGAAACTGGCGAACTTTTGACAGAACTTCCTGGCTACAAAGAAATAAATGAAAATGCTATAGAAATAGAAATAAGAGAATTGTAAGAGGAAAATGAGTGCTCAATGCAATTGATGTACCCAAAACCATATCCATAGGGTCCTATTTATAGATGTAGGAAGGGTGCAAATGAAGTAGTGTGGGCCAAAATATGCATCATTTTGAAAAGATGCAACACTTCATTTCTTTCAAATTTGGACCGTAGTTTCTTATTCATTCGGAATTGGTTTCGAGATTCCAAATATACCACGAAGATCTACTCGACGAGTAGAATAAGTTAGTCTATTTACTTTTGTAATTTGACTATCGGATCAAGTTCGAATATTTGGTTAAAATTGACACGAAGTAACACCTTTTCATTTTCTACTTCTACACTTAAACAATTTTCGATTATTTTTGAACCAATTCCAACAATCCCCCACATGAATGAAAATTCAGTTAAGCCAAGACAACGGTACTCCCAGAGATATCTTTCCTAATCTGTATATAGTTCTTATGATTTGGTTCATTTTGGCCCTGAACCCTTCTTGGTTTCATAAGTGTTTAGAGAATTTAAGCCTTAAAC